GGGCTGTCTACTCCGAGAACATATCTTCTATGCAGATTAGAGTTGAACCCAATGTGCTCACTTCTTATCTGCATGGTTATGTTACTTTGGGCCCTGTTAAGGTTTTTGTGGATACTGATAGGTGTTCCTCTGTAGTGCATCCTTGTCTCTCCCCGGTCTTTTCGTCTATGAAAATGTTGGCTGCCATCCAGATTTTGGGATCTGCCATCGCTTGATGGTTAATAGACTGCTTAGCGCTTAGTTTACTCCAGGATTTCTCTCATTCCTTAAAAGCTGCGACTTTTCCAGCCGCTTTCTAGACTAGTCTCCCCCACAAATTTTCACCCAGTTTGCCAGATCTAATCTCCTGTTGTTGGCACGAATGTCTTCTTTCCCTCGTTTGGGCAGCTTGATATTACTACAGGCAGATTTTATGAGCTTTCGAACTGGTAGGTTTTTCGCGCGGCCAACATATTGAAGCATTTGCTGCTTCAGGTAGATTTCTATTGGTGGAGTGGCAGTTTCGTGTTCGAGCACTCTCATACTGGTCGATTGATAAGCTCCTGTGAGTATTTTTAAGCAGTTTTTGTAGGATACTTCAAAGGGGTTTCACTATCCTCTCAGTTATTTACCACCTGGCCTGGTCTGGGCCCAAATCGAGGACCCATACGTGAAGGCCGGTCTCACTATTGTGCTTTACAGAAGCTTTGCCTTATGAAATGTCGCCCCCCATGTAGACTGTGTTAGCCTGCTCATTACCTGAGCCCGCGTCTCTGCCTTAAGCTGTATACTTTTAACGTGCGAAAAAGAAAGTTTAGCTTCGTATCGAAGGAAATTCCGAGGACCCGGAGACATGGCTATGGGACTATTGTATGACCTTGTATTTGAATTATTGCTTTAAGATTATTTTTTTCCTTGCTCATGAGAAGTGCATCGGCTGGTACTTCTCGGGCGGAAATCTAACCCCATGCTTTATTGCCCATGGCTCGCAGACCTTATGCTTCTTTCCCAACTCTCGGTAGTTTTCTCCGGTTGATCGTGACCATGTCAGGATATTTGTATCGCCTACAAACCCTACGGCTGAGGAAGAACTCGTATTGAGCGGAGGAAGGAGTGTACCGACGAAGAGAAACAGTATTGGTGATAATGAGGAGCCTTGAGGTATCCCCGTACTAGTAGATATCCGTTCTCCCTTGAATAATCCTAGCACTAATGATTACGTCATTTCTTCCAGAGAAGACTTTATGTAAAGCTTGATCCACGTCGATATTCTTTTTTCTCTTAGGTTATGTAGTAATCGTTCGTGGGACACATTGTCAAAAGCTCTAGATGTATCAAGGCTAAGCAGGGACGCCACTCGCTTTTTATCTTTACCCCAAATCGTTTGGATTTGCTCAGTTGGAAGCTGTACTGCGGAAATAGTGGACCTCATTGGCCTAGCTCCTATCTGCTCTTCAGGGAGAAGGTTAAATTTTTCGGCTGCTTTGGAAAGGGCGTTATGTATTGTTTCATGTACTTTTAGTGCCCAGGATGTCATTAAAACTCTAAGTGGGACCTGGTTTGGCTCCACTAGCTGTGACAGTCGGGGGAGTCATCAAGTTGGCTTGAATACATGAACATTTATTCGTGAGGGGCACAAGCCCTAGACTCAAAGAGCATGACACGTAGAAGAATAGCCTCTCCGACCACTATTTACGACAATAACTTACTCTGAAATTTAGACTACTGATGTAGTGGGTGCATTCGCTGATATCACTCGAGACCTTGTCGCTAGGGATTTTCAGCCTTCCCTCAACCGTTAATACCCACCAAAGGGAAGAACAGGAAAAACCTTTGGCTACCTTAACGTGCCTATACCATCTTGTATGTAGCCACCGCGCGAGATATGGTCTGACAGGCTTCTATTTCTCGAGTAAGGTAGGTGTCCAGGCTACCCAGACTTTAATTCGGGGAGATGACGACCAGGAGGCGGTCCAAAACACCTTCCGTAGTTTCCTGTTTTTAGAGTGTCAGTTGTACTATTCTAAATCATTGCCTCTGCGCCCATAGAAACTCGTAAGTTGAAAACACTCGGAAAATATGCGTCTCTATATGCCTATTTGCGACCTCTTCACTCATTCGTCCCATGTCCCAGCTTCCTATCCTTCCTCAAGATGTGAAGCCTCATTAGAGCAACGGTCCCCTATAGACTAAGACCTGAGCTTTGTAGTTTATGACTTAATTTCCTCCCGAGTATACATAGCATCGTAAATTTGTGGTGGGAGATGGCCGGTTTTTGATGAGATCAATTGCAATCGGGCATTTGAGTAGCGCCTTTATCAGTATTTGAGGCGAGGTGTTGTAGTAAGATTGAGGTGCAGGACTCGTGTGAAAATGATAGGTCAAAAATTTGTCAAGTCGTCGATTTTTGATATGCTTGAGGTTGCTTTCGACTTCGATTCAGATGCGATTCTTCTTGGCTATCCCAGATATGCAAAGAATACTGAGCCATTACACCGGCACCGCTAGAAGGTGAAGAATTAGTCTTTGCCGGCATCAAGTTGGCTTGAGATGCTGAATCGAAAAGTATATGAATCTTCCAAGGAGAGAACATGTATGTATAAGAAGGCCTTATTTGTACCCGAGCTCTCATCCAATTCGTGGCCAACATTTATAACCGCAGAGCAGACAGATGGACCTGTTCGAGGTTAGACTTCTACAATGGTGTTCACTCTAAACGGGCATTCTGCCACTCGGCTACCTTTTACGCCCTTTCCCCGTGTCCGCCTGAGTGCTGTTAGTCATCCGAGCAGTGGATTGAGTTTTCCATTATCTGAAGCTCCAGTAGGTGGAAATAATGTCTGCATTGGCCAACGCAGTCTGCAGGGTCTACCGTCGGTTCTACAGCTATTACACTAGCTAGGCGTTTGAAGTGGAGTAGCAGAGGCAACAATATCTATATTTCTAGATACCCATTTATTCCCTTTATTTACTGACTTCATGACGGCACCTAATTGTATTACTTTGCGTTCTATCAACAGTTTATGATGCGAAATTTTACGGGGCAAGGACCAACTTTGATGCAATCACAATCAGTAACTTCAACTAGGAACCAGGCATAATACGCAAACATTCAGCAGATTTTCATTAATCCGCACACCGTTGTTGAAAGGAATAGTTTCATAACATTCATAAATTAAAAATTTTCGAAAAAATACCGCCAGAACAGCTATACTAGTAACGGTTGGACAGGTCCTTGAGCACACAGGATTCGGAAAACGAAGGGCTGATATACTGGCTCAAAAGAAGCTCATGGTGTTTAACATAGCAATAGGGATATAGTATCGAATGAGACTCGCCGCAAAGGAACTCTTGACTCGAGAAATAGCGAGGCAATTGATGTTGATCTGGTGGGACTCAGCCCACCTAAAACGAGATACAGACTTTAACCTTCAAATATGGCGCAAGTGCCATAGCTTGGGCTACCGTGGAATTTCTACCTTCGCTTCACTACAACTCTAGACTTTCATGGTTATTCGTAGCCAACTAGCATCGCTCTTAACATATTACAGTCACACTCTAATACGATCGAGAGCATTTGGCGGCTCTTTTATCCCAGTATGGAAATATTATGGCCATATGGCGATTGAAAAGCGGAAGGTGCTAGAGACTTGGTTCAGGCTAGGCGGATTGAAGTCTTTGCAAGGAATATTTCTAGAGTAGTGAAATTTGGCGGTGGTTTTAATGGCAAGCATGTTGTGAGAGGTCAGTTACTGGTTATATCGATACTTGGTTGCGTGATGACCGAGGCATAATAGTAGAATTTTGACTAACTGCTTCCCTATATAAAATTATAAAATTGCGGAACAATATTATTCTTTTTCTTCACTCCTAGACTTGTCATGACTCGGCAAATGGATGCGTTCCAACATAATTCTATTCAATTAAGTGGGATGATAGTTTATGTGAATACTTGCTGTTGTTATCATGATCCGGCCTGGCTTCAATCGTGCTTAAGCTATAGGAGTGCGATCAGTGCCATCCCCCTAGAATAATGAATATCAATATAATCGGTGATGAACAGATAGTTCGAGAAATAGGAGCCGCGAAACTATTGGATATCCCTGGGAACAGATGGAAGAGCTGTAGCTAACAGTAAAGCACTAAATTAGGTGGACACTAATTTGTCAATAATAGTAACAAGATAAGATGTGAGATGAACTTGCTGCCCATCTTGAAATGAAAAAGTAGAAGATGATCCGCTGCAGGCCGGCTCTTGCAGCGCATTCTGTGCCCTGCGATAGACAAATATGAGGCGACCAGTTTTTGGCCCTAAGGGGATAGCGGGTATGACCTCGGACCTTAAAATAAAAATAAACAAACCATGAGGCTTCCAGAAAAAAGGCACTCGGTCTTTAAATGGACAGACAAGAACCCTAGTGAATCTCGCAAGATGAATAGACCTGAGAAAACCAGCTGGAGCCTGGCAAAACGCACAATACTTCTGAGGAAGGATGGATGTGTTGACCCAAGTCTCTGGCATCTGAAAATAGGCAGTTGCGTCACCAGATACATACCCCTACACCAACTTGTGCAATACTTTATGAATGCCTGAGGCTTTTATTTACTTAATAAAATCTTCGACTTATGCGCATTTTATGCTTCGGTCTTTAGCGCAGTGATTGTGGAGGATATAGGATGTCGTAGACAGCCAGGGATAAACTTCCCTGCGCTCGAAGTGAGATTTTTTTTATTGTTCAAGTCGTGGGCTAAAGTTCCAGATCCACTGTAGGTACAAGACTGGTGGAGCCGACGGGGTGAGGTTCGTAGCTAGCGAAATTTCGTAGAGGTCACGGATGATAGGTTATATCAGTGAAACGGTATTTGGATGAGACTGGTGGTTTACGACTGTCCTGTGCTTCACTGTAGGCGATACTATATGCGCGATAGAAAGCTTTGTGGACTTTTCGTTTTTCCTCCTCCCTCTAAACTACTACCTCGCGCTCTGTTTGTACCAACTACTCATTCCTATCTGGTACCATTCAAATGCTGGCGCTCGATCCCCAGTTCATGTTCGCGACACCTTTGCCACTGGCTACTACTATCTTTGTTCCCATGTGTCTCTCTCTCGACCGTATCCCGCTCATGCTCAATCCTGGTGTCGTAGTTGATGCCCGGACTTTATCCGTCAGCGTGGCGCTAGGCGCACGGACGATTCATGGTTTCGGTGCCTGAAACCTCAGGGGATCACTGCTTACCGGCCCAGCTCAGGGCAATCGCGAGACTCGCTACAGAAAAAGTAGAAGGTAAATTACAACTCAGAAGACACTACCTTCTCCATCTCCGAAATCGAAACTCCATCCTTTACCCCGAAGTCAAGTAAATACAATTTTCCTCCGAGAAACGACACTTCTCGCCCCTTTCCCTTTCGTGTTGTGCACTGTGGCCATGACTAGCTTGTCTGATCCCCGCTGAGAGCAGTGAATGAGTGGGCAGGTTGGCTACCAAAACAGCTAGTTTCCTCCACAAATATTTTGAAGCTTTCGTGGAAATAGTGCTCGATAATCTCTTTGACACAGTCAACGTGGGACATTGACTTTCGGAGCCTATGCGGGTGTTGTGCGTGGTGGCTACACCGGATGGAATGGGTTGGAGTGGTTTCCTTTCCGCAATAGCACTCCATAGGAGCGTATGAGTTGTTTTTTTTTAACTCATTTTATTGTCCTGTCTGAGTCTATGACTATATAGGACATGCAGATCGTCTCTGCCTACAGGCCAAGGATACCTACACCAGTAGTATATCCCCTCCTATGCCGCGTATGAGTTGTTAAAACGGCGATAGTATGCCGTAAAGTTGCCGTGTCCTGTTCGGGCTGCGATTAGTTCGCGGAGGAGGTGCCTGGAAAGCGTCACGCCGGGAAGTGAGAATTTATCGTAGGGACAGGGTAAATGACTCGGAAGCCGAGTGCAGGCGACACTATAAACACAGCCACGGTTTGATGGTGCGGTGGTACATCGTCTTGGCCGGTCTGCCAAGAAGAGTCTGGATAGCCTGGACACATATCCCACTCGAGACAGTAGATCGCTGGTTCAAATCCGGCAAAACACAACCACATTTCTCGCGGCGCTGGTATGCATGGATGACGAAGGCATGCTTGGATAACCAAAGGTTTCGAAATTCCCTTTGGTGGGTACTAACGGAGGAGGGTCGACTGTTTGTGTAAGCAAGCATACCTCATAGTAGTATTTGCGAATGAAATCCAGAGTATGAGTGTCTCTAACGTCAAAAGAGTCATCCAACATGTATACAAAGCACCGGTCATGCGTCATAGCTCTATAGCTGCATACACATTAAATGATTTAGAAAAAAGACTTGGAAGCCAACTGAAGCGGGCTTGGCCGACACAGCGACTGATTCAGCCATCCGGCCCAATTTGAGATTTTACATCCAGTCTCTGAATTGGCCGGCCAATCATCCCCGACACTTCAGCTCGAACAATTAGCGCCTTATCGTATCAACGGTATTTGACAGGGACGTGAAGCAATGCAGTCAGAGCCGAGACTGCTCCAACAGAAGATTCAGGCGCTTACCCATGGAAATCAGTAGTATTGTGCCAACTTGTTACGATTTGTTTCTTTTGTAGCCGTCATCATGTGTCCCCTGGGATGGGACAAAAGCGTTCGCTTTCGCTCGGCAGACAATAAATACGTAATTGTTACGATTGGATTATTTGCTACACAACTATCGCCGACGTACGTCCGAAAGGTCTTCCGCATTAGAATCAACTGGTCTTTAAGGGTGACAGGGATCCATGAACATCCAACTTCATTCTGTTACTACTTGAGCCACATTTCATTTCCAACCTGCCATCTCTATTGAGCTACAATGCGTCTAACCAACATCCTAATCCTATTCGCTTGCTCTATCACCGACGTTGATGCAGAATTGAAATATTGGAGGATACAACAAGGCGCAAAATGTGGTGCCTCAATCTATCGCCAGGAAACGCTAGAAGATGCAATTAAGCCCCATTGCCGCATAAATTCTGACGGGAAGCCGGAGATCATTCTTACGGATGATATGAAGAGGTCTTACATCATCCCGGAACCACCAACTCCGCTTTACTACTTGCCTCTACCATCTGTGGACGCCAATGGCGAAATTGTCTCTAGTAAGTCGCCTACCGAGTAGCTCTTGCCCTTGAATATACCAAAGCTAAGCTACTTTAAGAGGAGCCCACCGACTACCATGTAGCAGTTGATCCGTATTGTGAATTCAACGTGGTGACAGAAGTCATGAGCGTGGCCGACGACGGAATTACTGTGGATAACGAAATGAGAAAAGACTGTGTGCCTGACAAGCCATTCACTTAGGAAGCAGGGAGGGCCTAACTCCAGTATTCGAGGGTGCACCTGATAATGTTTTGCGGAAATCAGAATACACTTCTCGTTTCTTTTCGGAGTGAAAATCTGATGTGTGTAGATTAGCTACAAATTAAATCCAAGAACTAGACGCAGGACCGGACCAAAATCAGCTGCTAGTTCGATTTCTAGATGCGGACTGTTTGGCCCATTCTGCACAAAGAAAGGAAGAAAAAGGTTTATATCATGGGCGGAGGCTCTGTCAGTTGTAGGTATAGGACCAGCGAGGTATTCAAAGGATCACGGAACGTGGTCTCAAATTCTTCACACCCTTTAAAATTTCCCCAAAATACATACAGTTAGAAAAAGTCTGAGCTATTGAATTTCAAACTACTGCTTAGTTCATGCAAGTTTTTGGTAGAAAGAAGCTTATACAATTATAAAAGCATGTCGATTTTATAACTCTTCAAAACATGGGTAACAGATACTTAGCAGAGTGGAATTAGGGAGAGGCAAGTAAGGTTGAGAGACAATATTGGGTGTGCACAGGTCTACTGCGCCCGTAACGTTGTGCTAACTCATAACACAACCGTACTGTCTCATGTTGACCAGCTCAGTCTATATAAACTACCCAGCGTGCCGACACTTGTAAATAGGCCCGACATATTATAAATGGGCCAAGGCCTGCCTATCATGCACCCCGAACTATCGCAAGAATTCAAATATACTCTCCAGCTGAGACTTTTGTACTCTAATACAGTAGAGAAGATAGTTATATATATGAAAAGGCAAGTTATCCATCACCTAGACCAGAAGTCTTTCAAACTGAGGCATAGCGAGTGTAGGTCAAGGCTAAGAGTACTGGCTTGTGCCGTCGTTGTATCTCTGTGAAAAAGCAGGCATCATGAAGCCATTTGCTAAAAGCTATGGCCTCTTCAGGAGCGCCTAGAATCCAGCGAATTCCCGTCATTAGATGTTTATGTCCGCTGCGAAGGCGGGACAGACTTCTATTGAGTCGACAAGAGAAGAAGTGCTCGGGAGACTTTTCTAGCCCGTAAGCGCAGATCAGAAGAGCGTCCGAGTGGTAAAAGCGGCGCTGGTAGTCAGCAGAGTCCCCGTGACCTGAGCGAGCTGCAAGAAGGCTACCAAGAGCGTAGCGGTTGAGGCTCTTGAGTTTGGGGGAGCTCCCAATATTGGTGTGGATCCCGGATAGATCTACAGGGCACGAATCAGCTAGATGTAGGAAACACGGCAAACACACGTAATCGTAATTATCCTATGACCTCACGCACAGCAAATCGCATTGTCAGAGCCCGCGACCACATCAGTAGATCTACTAGCGTTGAGGAATAAGGAGTAATCAATTTATATAGACACATAGACATCCGACACTTCAAGGATATAGAATTCACGCATTAGTCTCAAGCTCTACACAAGATCCGTTGTAGTTAGGAGCCACGAGACACCACGTGATACCCTTTCATTCTTACGCCCACCACACCATTTACTAAGTATGTAACGCGCACTCGGCGTCTTTTGTCTCAGTAGGGACTTCATAGGGTTACTCGCTTGACGCGTGATCCGCCAGACGTTAAATAAAGATAAATAAAATAAAAAATAACGCGCACTCGGAAACCTCATTGGCACTAATCCCCTGCGATTGCTCTCGTTTAGGAGACTTTTGGGAGAAGTGTGTGTCCAGGTCACGGGACACTGAGTTGAGAAGATTAGTGTAAACTTAATTATGTAATCACATATTAGCGTGCTCGAAACATTAGGAGTTTCCTGTTAGGATTAGGCAGAGAACTACTTTCATCTGATTAAACCAACTCCATAGGCATTCTGTGATACTAATTACAGGCGTGCATTGGATCTCTAGTCACCATAAGACACCACGCAACCCCTGTACTCGGACGCACAGCAGTATAGGGCTACAGAGGCTCTTTGCTCGGGTGATTGTTGGAGATAGGGGGCGTAGGGGCTGCGCGTGCTCGTTTAGCAAGTGCGTCAGCGTTTTCATTGCTCGGTAGGCCGATATGTCCTGGCCAAACAGAGTCCTTCATGTCTTTTCATAACCCGCGACTACGTAAAGAATGTATTATTGTCTTCCAAGAAAATTCCTTAGATCCATACATTCACCTAGACGCCCCTCAAAACTCTCTTTCAAATCAAAATCTCTCGTACGATGGCATTCCTTAAAACCAAACCCTCGGTCTCATTTAACGGTCTCTCCTCGAAGGCGCTCACTTAGCAGCCTCTAGAGCTCGTGAAGTAGAAAATCTATTTGGCTCCCTAGCCCGACTTCTCGACGAACATTGCTCTTCTCACGCTCGCGCTATTCTACCAGAATCTCAAGCTCAAGCCCTCCGCAACTGCAACTCAGAATTAGCAACTATTGCTGCTAAGCACTTCAACGCATACATGCACAGTACCCCAACTATCGAGAAAGCCCGCCCTGTGAAGACAGCAAAAGTAAACGCTTCCCAAAGCTATGCGGGCGCTGCCAAACCAGGCGCACAGCAGCCCCTCCCTCCGCAAAGAAGCTAAATGTTCACATACGAACTGAAAACGCTAAAATAGACGACAGATTGTTCGTTCGCCTCTCCTCCAACAGTCCTCTACGCACCGCATCGGGCTATGCAATACAAATGCACTTGAAGTCTAAGCTTGGCAGCCAAAGCAAATTTCTATCAAATGATATGTCAACAAAGACAGGGTTTGCTCTCCGCCCTAGCGCTGGTAAAGCCCATGCCTTAAACGAGAAACTGGCAACAGTTGATCTGTTTGGGACTGCTCCCATTGAGAAAGCCTCGCCCTGGACGTCCTACAGGATTGAAAATGTCACTCGGTTTTACGGGACGATAAACCAAAACATGCCATACTGCCTCGAGCCATTCATAAGCGAGGCCGTAACAGCTGCTGTAGCAACAGCAGCTAGCGCTACTCCCGTCTCTGTACTTGCGTCCCAGGATAATGAAACAAATCCAGAAAGCCCAGATACAAGCTGGATTGTCCGCTTTCCTCAAGATCATAGCCGTCTATCGCGTATTCTCTATCTCTTTGGATGCCGCACCGTTACCCAAATCCTTCCTAAACGCTCGTCACTAGTACAGTGTAGGATGTGCTGGCTTTGGCACAATAGCCGCGCTTTTTCCTCTGCCCCAAGATGCCGTCTTTGTGGGTCTACTCAACACACAGAGAAGGATCACAATAACCTCTGCGCTGCACCGGCTGGACACACATGCTCACCGCGATGTATCCACTGTCATGGCCCTCATCCAGCAGACGACCCAACTTGTGAGCTACGACCACAACCCTCTAATCCACCAAAGACAAAATCACAGGTTATTACCATCCGGAAGATCTTCTCTGAGGCACGTATCCGCCGCCAGGCAGAAGCAGGATACGTTAAACGCTCTCATACTGCGCAGGGCCTCAGTAACTCTCATACAGTACAGCACACCAGCTATCCAACAGTTTCCCATTGAGCAGGGCCATTAAGAATCGCAGCCGCAGCCAAGCGAGCTCTCTTCTTAAATATTTTCGAGATCTTGAAGACGTCGGCCGGAGCGTCAGATGATCAGATGGAACTTGGAAAAGATATAAGTCAACGTGGCAAACTTTCAGCTTGCCTTGTACCAGTTTATTTCGTACTAACTTGCCATCTCAGTTGATGGTATTGCCTTTACACTAAAGGGTTTTATTTTTATTTCTTTATTTTCCCATTCATATCTTTTCCATTATTTATCATTGTTGTATCTTAGTTATCGGATACTCTCTTTAATTGTTAATCAGGTCTCGCCTCCCTTGGTTAGGGAGTCGTAGCCCTCCGACAACTGAGGTAGTAGGCCTTAGCGTCCTTTACCAATTTGGGTTTTAGATAAGATGGGCATAGGCCTCTTTTTAGATAGACGTAAAATAATTCAAACAAACGCACAATTCGAGAAATTCGAAAATTCAAATTTTCCCTCTTCCCTCCCCTCTCGATCTCGTCGCATCTATCTTCGGGGTGTGGTCGAGCTCAGGCATTTTTGCAATGTCCCCAGTTCGCAAAAAGCGTCTAAACGTATTGTTGGACAACGTGAGAGTCCGCCCGAGGGCTCTCGAAAAACTACCTGGCCTTGTCCAGTCTCCGAAATGCGCGGAGATGAGCAGTGTCTCATTCAAATGGAAGGAAAAGGCCCTCCCCACCGTTGCTGAGCCCGATACTGACATGATCAGGTCAGTTGAAACTGTTGAGGAATTTCCTCAACTATCCTCCGTCTCCCACGGGATTGGAGAATCGTCAAAATCTCCTCCGACCGCATCAAAACCGTCAGAAAACGCTGCACCTATATCAGCGCCAAAATCAACGTCGCAGCCAAAAGCTGCGTCGAAAGCAGAATGCCCTCCTGAGCTCCGACCAATAGTCGAAGCCGAACAACGACGCGCCGCCGAAACAGCGGCAAATCTGGCCCTCTGCTCCGCCGCCATCTCTGGCGTCGAAGCCACCCTTCTTCCTTTGACCAACGGGTCAAACAGATAATTCGTAGACTCGATGAGAGTCTCCTTACGCGCCGCCATTGCGCAATACATGGCCACGGGCCAGACCACTAAGCCACCCGTCCTCCCTCCTCGCCCTGCGAACCATCTCCCCAGGGCTCCCGACGCCAGGAGTACTACAACTCCCGTCGTCCCAGTACAGCTATCAAAAATCACCTGGGCTACGGTGGCAAAAAATGGACTGCGACAGAAAGCAGTTCCTATAGTAAAGGCAGTGCCGCAACCTGCGGCCAAGACTACAAAGAAAGACGCCCCGAAGGCGAAAGTCGACAAACGACTGTTCCTTCGCCTCGGCAGCGATCACCCGTGGTGCAAGCTCTCACCTTGCGCTGTACGGGAAAAATCACAGAAGGGGCTGCAGTGCGCCGCAGGTCACGCCAGCTCTCTACATCGAGTTAGAACCGGCTTTACGGTTCTAACAAGAGATGAAAATATCAGGGAAAGGCTCCTAGATGCCGCACCGAAATTGT